GGAACAAGGCGATGGTCATCCCCACCCAGAGCTGGCAGCTCTATGGCGCATTCAGCAGGCCACTCAAAAGGGCCTCTCGCTCACAGTCCAGGTACTGAGAATTTCTCAGCATGAAAGTTGAAACCACTTGAGGGTCACACATCTGCTGTGGGTTGGGGCAGCAGACCCTTGAGAAGGCAATATTGCCTTCTCCACCTCCAGCCAGGCTCCTGCTTAATCATTTTGTACTGAGCTCCACAAATTATGTAGCTGGCTCCACTTAAAATCTCTACTCATTCAAGCTTCTCTTTCTATTTTTAATGACAGCATTACCCTTCTCCATATTTCCCAGGTATAGAATCTGAGTCATCACTGATTTCCCTCTCTCCTTGCCCAAATTAACACCTGCAGGACATCCCCACATAATTCTGCTGTCTATTCCTACTTTTCGTGCTTTAGTGCAGTAGTTCATCTGGCTCCACCATGCCATCATCATAGATTTCAAATTATTTTCACAGTTTTGAGCCTTTCCTTGTTCAATCCATTAAGCCACTACCACCAGGTTACCCAAAACACCACTCTGACCATGCTAAAAAGTTCTCCAATGCTTCCTGTGGCTTAGTGTTGTTGTCATTGTTGAGCCACTAAGTCATGTCCAACTCTTTTGTGACCCCATGGACTATAGCCCACCAGGCTCCTCCATCCATGGGATTTCCCAGACAAGACTACTGGAGTGGGTTGCCATTTTCTTCTCCTGGGGAGGTGGGGGTCTTTCCTTCTCCAGTCTTCCAAGAATATTGGAGTGGGTTGCCATTTCCTTCCCCAGGGATCAAACTTATGTCTCCTGCTTAGCAGGGGGATACATTACCACTGAGCCATCTGGGAAGCCCCATGCCTTATTGTTAAGGAAGCTCAAATTCTTTAGTCGGGTACTCAAGATTCTTTCTTTTGCCGCCATCCTACTTTTGCATACTCACCCTACAGCATATGCAATACTTTAGCCAAATTAAACCACTCGCTCTCCTCTATACATATTTTGGGTTGCCTGTTATTGTGTTTCTGCTGAGGTCATTTTGCTGTACCTGGAAGCCTTTCCCCACTCCACAACTATCTCCAACAGTGAAATCTAACCTTTGTCCCAGTTTGAATGACACCTCCTCCATGAAGTCTTCTATAATGAGCCAAGTCACAGTGTGACTCCATTTTCCTGACTAATGCCATTCAGTTCGTGTCATTTATTTAGCACCGCTCGGCATTACTTGTTCATGAATAGTCCACAGCCTTGTACTTGGAAGTACCTGGAAAGCAAGAAGCAAGTCCTCTACTTCTGTATGCCCACAGGCTCCCTAGCTGGGGCTTAGGTATAATAGGCACGCAGTGTATGTTTGTTGAAACTGATGAATAAATGAATCTGTTGTGTAAACAGATCAGGTTTTCTGAAAGCCTGGCACACCCATAACCCTTCTGCGTCATCCCGTTTACTCCTCTCAGCTCACCTAACAGAACATCCTGACTGTTTTTCAAACCCAAAGCCTATCAAACACCTGTATCATCATTACCAACACTAACTAAAATATCATCTCACACTTTTTATTAATGTTTAAAGTGCTATACTCTGAATGCTTAGAATAACTTCAAAGAGAACACCTGTTATTTGAGGGCTCTTATTTTCAACCTCTTGAGGGCAATTTTTTCATTACTATATTAAAGTGGGTTGTTTAATAACTTAGAGCTGACAGGGGAAAAGGTAGCTTGCAGTCACTGTGAGCTACACTAACTATGTAAAAGGAATTTTTTTTTTTTGCAATTCTTTGCCTCCTAATTTCAAGTCTTTTTTTCAGGACTAACCGAGGAAAGTGGTGAAAAATAATGAAATAAACTAAGAAGTATTTTTGCTTTCAAAACTTTTATTTGACTTTAGTACCGCATTAGTCTATTCTTTACTTCAGGATGCCATGCTTCGTAATTTCATAAGCATTTTCAGTGCCTTTCTCTCACCCACATTCTGAACCTCTAAGGGGATCATCAATCTTATTAAATGATTAAATTTTCAAACTCCATGTGATAAGTTAATCCCCTGAAGAAAAAAAGCACACTAGTTGAACTTAAGCAAGAAATGCCTTAAAAATATAGTAGCTAATAAAAAATCCAAGAGGATAGTTATATTTTCACATAGGAACTTCAAGATGTTTACATATATGATCAGAATTACAACAATATTGTGATAAGAGAACATGCATTTGGAAGGTGGTCAGTTTTCACTAAGAGAAATCTATAATAGCAGGAAATGGAAAGGATAAGGGAAAATACTATAACTTGGGAAGGATGCAATATTAATACAACACTATAAAAAGTTTTAAATTGCATGAGTTCTAAAAGGAACAAAATGTAGAACTTTTGATAGGATAAGATATGGTCAAGAATTTTCAATCACAGAGTAATCTTAAGCAAAGGGTGAAAGAGTAGACATTTCCATATTCCTTGAATGAAAAGTTAGTTCTAAAATATTTAATTTAAGGATGAAGTATGACTTAGGGAAAGATAAGGCTGGTCAATATGTGCTGAGTTCATATCTCAGCCCCAGATAAGAAGAAAAACAATTAAAAATGAGAGAAAGAGGAAAAAGAAGAACACTAGTAAACCAGATATTATTACTGTCATCATAAACTGTTACTATTTCCTGAATAACTGGATTGTGCCAGGTACTGTTGGGGGGGCTTTAGTGCAGCATCTCACTTTATTTTCAAAACAATGATCTTTACTACAGAGGTGTTATTATTCCCATTTCACATATGAGTAAATTGAGACTCAGAAATCAAGAAATTCTCCTAGAGTCACACTAGTGGTGACTAGTGTACCATAATAAAGAAAAAAAGTAATTTTATCAAGGAAAAGTAGTGAAATAAAAATGAAGCAAAACACACCAGGTCAAAAATACATATTTTGAAAGAAACCAAAGAAAGAAACCAAATTTCTCTGTCTGAAGAAAGACAGAGAAATTTCCTAAGCAGATCAAAATGAAGACAAGGAGTGGATCAAGATCTCAAACTCTATAATTCTATAACTCTTTCCCTTCCTGCCTTTGGCCAGTTCTCTCACCAACCCAGTCTTTACAGCCATCATTACTATCCGGGGAAGGTAAAAAGAACTCTTCATTCTAAATGTCAGTTTCCAATATTAAAAGGCAACTCTGCCTTACCCTCTGTCTTCAGAATAAGAGTAGGGCCAGAAGAAACATCAGCTTCTGAAAGCCTGATTTTCTATGCCTGTGATAACACCTCTAGCACAATACTAGCAGCAGGAAGACGAGTTAACTGCTGAGGAAGCTGAGAATTATGCTGTTGAAGAGAAGACAGTATGTATGAATAGCATTAAATAAAAGTTAGGAGCTATCAGAAGGGAGTAAAAAATAAAAACTACAGAAATGGGGGAAAATCAATTGGGGAAGAATAAGAAAACTAAAAGCAACAGAGAGAACAGACTGCAATTCCAGGCTATAACAAGCATCATCCTACCAGGAAGGGATTTTTTTTTTTTTCTACCCAAGCACACAATAAAGATGTGGAAATAATGAGAAAGAAAAGTTTGTGACTGTTCAACTTTTTACAGAATCTTCAACATTTCAATTAATAAATGTTTTTATTTCTTCCCATGGTTTTCTAGGGTTATAGAGAAATAGACACCTATTAAAGATCATTCATTGCTTGTTTGTCCTAAACTGACCAAAGTCTTTAAGAAGGATATAATGAATAATGAATCTAATCAATAAACAAGTTAACAAAAATGACATTGTGGTAGGCATTCCTTAACATTAAAACATGATACTGATAGACATCCCACAAAAACAAGAAACTTGGTTTCAAGACAAGCTCCTCAATTTTCTATGTAATATTACCAACTTTCAGATGAAACAGAGAAAATTTTACTTTTAGGGTCCTTCCCACCACTTTTGCTATTCTGAGCAGCAGCAGCAAGCTAAAGAGAAACCTGCAGCTTTATTAGACAACTGGACATGCTCATCAAATGACAACAAAACTTTCATGACCAAGGAAAAGAACTGTCCATTATTATGAACCCCAAGAAAGTCTCCTAGAAAGGGGCATCCAGTTTCATTATGTTCAGGGAAGTGATACGAAGAAATTAGAATGGACTGACTTTCAGAACCAGGATCTAATAGCAAGTTCAAATCACTGTGAAAATGAAAGGCTTAGAAATACCAGACAACAGCATGATGGGCTTCCTTTTCTACCTGAATCCAGCACATTCACTGTGCTCATTGCCTTTAGAATTGCTAGAAAATTATCCATTTTTCATTTGCTTCACAAACTAAAAACCTATTTGCTCAGTCAAGAGCCCACTGCAGATAATGCTGGATTTAAACATAAATAACTCTTCAATTTGTCCAACTTTTCTCAACTCCACAACAAAAGCAGTTAAAATAGATGCTTAAAAAAAAAAAAAAAAGACATAAATGGGTCAGAGGCCCAATCTTCCCTTGACTTTCCTCCTCTTTTCTTCGTCTTCCTTACCTTGGAACTCATGTAAGAGAAGGGGCTAAGGAAATAGCTAGGCACTTTGACCCCTTCCCAATCTGGAATGAGAACGAAATGCATTATGGTCCCCAAATGACACCAGAGACACCAACATACCCATTTTCTCCAGACTAACACTGGAATTCTGGAGTAGACATCTTTTTCCAGCACCTAAAAAAAAAATGCATTCTAAAACCACACACTGATATTCTTAAAGACAAGGTATCTTGACAAAGAAACATGAGGTATTACTGGATACAAAAATGTGTGTTATATGAATTTTCCACAAGTCACTGTGTGTTAGTAAAAGACCATTCTGTCAAAGAAGGTATAGTAACATTCAAACTAATCTAAACCCAGAAGGAATTTAAATAGCAAAATTCATATAGTAAAGAATCGAAGTTAATGTGTTGGTGGATGCCAAAGGGTAACAGAAGGCTTGACTCCCAGACCAATGGGGCTCTGGAAGGGGACAATGCAAAGTCCTACCTGGTAGGCATCAGGAATGTTGACCGTCTCTCCATGCTCCCCGACATAACCAATGATACCTTTGCCCCAGGGGACCTGCACCTCGTTTGAGTTTTCCGTGCTGCTGCAGGGCAGCAGTGGGGTCCCTGCGTGCACATCAAAGAATTTGGAGACCAGGCTCTTCTTGCCAGCAGCCGCCCCTTCCACCAGGAAGAGAGAGCAGCGGTCTGCGTCCACCATGAGGCAGACGAAGATGAGGATCTTGTAGCTCAGACTGGTAAGGTCAAGGTCATTGGAGATATCCTTGACCAGCTCCAGGAAGAACTGTCGCTCGTTGTGCTTTTTGAGGTGGCACTTGTAGTCCATGGCCGTAGGGGGGTACTGAGGCAGGTTCACCCGCGACTCCAGCAGGGCACTGAGGATGTGGGCGGTGGTGGGGGGCAGGGAGCTGGCCTTCCGGAGAAGCGCCCTCCGCCGCACACTGCTCAGGGGCTCCTGGGCCCGGGAGGTCACTTGTTCGTCGTAGGTCCTGTTGACGTGGATGGCCTTGGAGCGGGCAAAACTCTTCCTCAGCTCTTTCTGAGAAGCTCTCCGCTGCAGGCTCCCATCGCCCCGGCTGCCACTGGCCCAGCTGGGGCCCATGGGGCCCCCCCTACAGTCCCCACCGCCCGGGGTGGGCTGGCTGCTGGCAGGGCCGTCGGGTCTCGGGCCACCGCCAAGGCCGCCGCTGCCTCCGCCACCGCTCGTGTCGGCGGCCGGGGTGGGCCTCGGGCCTACCGCCCCCTGACCCTGCCCGTGCCTCCGCATCCACTTCTCCACCATCTCCTGCTTCCCCTTGCGCATCAGGTAATCTTCCAACAACTCTGGGTGCCTGTCCAGGAAAGTTTCCACCTCCCCAAAGTCCAGGCGGGAGGCCGTCATGGTCCCAGGCTCAGCTTTCCCTCTGCCTCTCTACACTGGGACCAAACGAGCCCCTGCTCCGGCCTCTAGCTGGTCCTGCCCATGGCTACCCCACCAGGATCCCGGCCCCGAGCTTCTGCCGACCAGTGGAACCCCGAGGGGCTGGGAGGCGCCCCTTCCTTCGGGCTCAGACGGCGGCCGGCAGGAACCCCACACCCTGGTCCCACTACTTGGGCGCCGCACAGGTGCCCGCACGGCGCTGCCGCCGCGGCTACAGCTCGCGCGCAAAAGCCGAGCGAGCGCGGCTCTCGCTCCGCCCGCCGCCGTCGCCGCGGCTGCCGGTACCGGATGAGTGGACCGCTCTGGACGCGCGGTAGGGCAGGACACGCCCCCGAGCGGGGCGCGGGTCCCCCGGGGAGGAGCAGGGCGGGAGGAGGGAGACGCGAGCTCCAGCCCCGCCAGAGTCCCCGGCCAGGATGCCAGGCGGTTCCTGGAAGAGTCTCTGGCCGGCCGGAATCGGCGCCCGGGAACACGACCCGCAGACTCCCGACTGGGACAAGATTAGAGGGGAGACGCACCTCGTTCCTTCCCCCTCCTTCCTTCCTTACCTCCCTAGCCCTCCCTCTTCCCCGCCCCTCAATCCTCCAGCGTTTCACGGAGGCCCCGCGGGAGCCCAGTGGGAGCCCAAGTACTAGGAAGTGTTTATGTTTTGCAGGGATCAGACCCAGACGCTGACTCCGAGGAAATGAGGATGCTCTGAGACAGGAGGATTATTTTTCTGGGATGTGACTGTGGATTCTTGGCTCCTAGGATTCCTGGGACTGCCCACTAATACTGCCCAGCTCCTTGTGGGTGTTCAGTAAATAGGTACGGAACTGAATTTACTGAAATTACTAAATGAAGTACCCCGTCTGAGCAATTCATGACTTTAACCAAATTCATGGACCTGGGGGTGGGTACAGGAGGGTGGTACATGGAAGGAGGCCGTAAAACACAGTCCCTTGGATTGGGAGCCTTGCCTAGCAGGAGCACGCAGTAAAGTAGACTTAAGGGCCTCGGGGCTTCCTGCATACAGACAGGGTGCCTACTCTTCTTTTCCTGGACCACTTGCCATCTCCTTCTTTCTCCACTCAGTTTGGCAAGAAAGGCAAGGCTTCCTTTAGTTTCGGTATCCAAGGGCTGTGGGTAAAGGTTTCTCCTCTGTAGGAGGCTTTTCTTTCCCCAGCCCGATGGATTCTCCAGATCTGGCTAGTCTCCGCTAGTTAGGCTAAGAATGACACCAGGTTTCCCTTGGGCCTTTTCCAGCCTACTTGCTAAGCTTGGGTAATTTCCTGGCAAAGACACGCAGCCTGATGACCCCTTCTTGAAGCCCAAGGGTCTCCTCTTTTGTGAGAAACAAGAGCAGCTGGAGAATCATCCAGTTCCCTGGGACAGCAGGACAATCTAGACGAGCTCTTACAGGATGCCAGCAACGAGGGTAACAGAAAAGCTGCAGAGGGAACAGGTAATGACATTTTTATGGGGCTTCCACGTGGCGGGACAGGCAGGTGACTTCCACAGTAAGTAACGCTTGCTCCAGATGATGTCCTCACAGCTAAAACGACAAGCGTACCGAACACTTGCTATGTTGATCCCTTTAAACTAACATGTTAACCTTCACAACAAATTTATGATGTGGGGACTCTTATTATCTTGTTCTAAAGGTGGGAAACTCTGAGAAGTTGCGTAAAGTACCCAACGCACACAGAGAGGTGGTGTCAGAGCCGGGATGCAGATCTACTGAGATTGGCTCCAGAGTGAGGCACACTCTCAGCCACATCAGTGGGTTGTCTCCCACCTGTGTAAGAGGACTCCTAGCTCTGCTGGTAACAGAGATGCAGGGGCCGGCGCAGAATGTTCTCTAAACATTCCTAAACGTTCCTCTGGCAGCCACGGGAGGAGGAGAGAGGGAGAAGAGAGGCACTTGGTCAAAAATTCCAAACACCCCAGCTTAGTGCTGTGATTAAGGGTACGGCCTTGGCACTGCGAGTGCAACTGTGAACAAAGACTCTGCCCTCATGGAGCTTACCTTATGCTGGGGAGGCGGCCAGTCAACGAATGAAATACATAGAGTTGACCCTTGAAGAACAGGGCTTTGAACGGCAGGTCCACAAACACACGGTTATCTTCCAGCAGTAAACAGTCCTACACAGTCTGGGGTTGGTTGAATCCCTGAGCCAGAATCACTGATGCAGAGAGCCAACTATAAGTTATAGGTAGGTTTTCAACTGCACAGGGGTCAGCACCCCGAACCCCTACTTTGTTCAAGGGTCAACTGTATACAAAAGCAGAATTTCAGTGATAGGTGCAATGAAGAAAAACAAAACTTGGCCAAGTATTAAATAAAGTGATGAGGTGGTGAAAAGGTCTCCACCTGAGTAGAGATCTGGTAGAAATGAGGAAATGAGCTATGCTAATATCTGTGGAAATGAGTGTACCAGAAAGAGGAAGGGTGCTGAAGTTGTGAGATGTAATGTGTTGGGAGCATTTATGAGACAGCAGAGAGATCAGCCAGGAGACAGTGAAGCAAGCATAGAATATTGGTAGTTGGAGCTGCAGACTGCTAAGAGGATGAGTTGTGGTCAAGAATTAAATGAGGTAAAGCTCTTAACATAGTGCCTGATACAAATAAAGTGCTCAATAAAGTCCCTTGTTGTATTACTTTTATTATTATCATTATTATTTTCCAAAAGTAATATTGGGGCTTCCCCGGTGGCTCAGGGGTTAAGAATCTGCCTGCAATGCAGGAGCCGCAGGAGATGCAATTCGATCCCCAGGTCGGGAAGATCTCCTGGAGGAGGGCATGGTAAACTACTCCTGTATTATTGCCTGGAGAATCCATGGACAGAGGAGCCTGGCTATAGTCCACAGGGTCACAAAGAGTCGGACATGACTGAAGTGACTGAGCACACACACCCACAAAGTCATAGTGTATGGCCATGTCTCTGGTAACTTGAGTGACTCATCAGTAAACATGATCAGAGTGGGACACTGGAGCTGGCTTGCAGGGGCTCACAAGAACCTGTTTTAGCATCTCTCCAACTTCATGTTCAGTGACATCATGTAGCTTGCAGTCAGCCATGATGGGAGTATATACACCATGAAATCAACAAATGCTGTGAATCAGGACTACCCCTCCCCCCACCAACCCTCGATTGCTAGTTGTTAAATGCCTGCTAGACTTCAGAGGAAACAGTTCAATTGCCCACCAACTGATGAATGGATAAATAAAATATAGTGTACCCATACAGTGAAAAAAATGTATATGTAACAAATGAAGTACTAAAATATGCTCCAACTTGAATGAAGCTTGAAAACAGTGTGCAAAGAAAGAAGTCACTTACAAATGACCACATACTGTATGATTTCATTTATATAAAGTGTCCAAAATAGGCAAATCCATAGATTAGTGATTACCAGGGGATGAGGGCAAGGGAAGATGTAGGAAACTTGGGTGTTGGGGGGTAACCACTAATGAGTATAAGGTTTTTGCAGGAGTAGTCAAAACGTTCTGAAACTGAGTGTGGTGATGGTTGCACAGATCTGTGAATATACTGAAACCTCTGACCTGTACACTTTAAAAGGGTGAAAAATTGTATGGCATGTGAATTATATCTCATTAAAGCTGTTATTAAAACAACAACAAAAGCCATTTACCAGCACAGGACTGCTGTGCAAAGAGGCAAGAGAAGCAATGAGCTTCTTCAAGGAAGGGAGAGAAGCAGACCACCCCTGGGCTGCCTGGAAACAGTGCTTGATAAATGGACGTTTCCTCAATTCCATCCTCCATGTATTCATTATGTAAGTGCTTGCTTAGTGTGTATTATGTTCCACTGGGAACAAAAGAAGACCAAGACGAAACCCCTGCCTTTGATTGAGAATCTCTGTCTCCTCTGCCAAGAGGAGTGGGAGTAGAATGCTGGGAAGGGTAGGGGCAAATCTGAGCATTTCTGGCTTGGTTTTGAATGGGCTGGAGCCTCATTCCCTGCTTGGCTCACGAAGTCACTAAAGAAGGCAATCTGAGGAAGACAATGCACAGGTGACAGACAGCACAATTAATATGGTCCAGAGGCTGTGGTGGAGGGCTACGTAGTAAGATGTGTGGCAATATGGCCCCAATTGCCATTTCCTCTTCATACTCCATTTGTAGAACAGTATATGCACTGCTCAAGATTCCAGCAGGAAACAGAGTGCACTCAAAGTAATTCTAAGAGGGTAAATTCACAAAGGGACTAATTATAAAGGTGAAGTATATAGGTAAACCACAGTGATAGTGAAGGAACTGGGACTCACAGCCACAGGGAAGTCACCTCCCCTAGACCTGATGAGAGCAGGAGAGAGGCTTGTGCACTGACTAAGCCTGGAGAGAAGCAGCGGCAGCCTGTCAAATGACACGGACAGCTCAAGCTGACCTCAAAGGAGGGATCTCAGGAATAGATAACTTGATCTCCTTCTTCCCTCTCCCTCCTATCCTGACCAGACCCAGCTAGAGGTGAGGAGCTTGTTGATGGAATCCATATGTCATCCCTCCTGGGCAGAGAGTAGAGCAGGATTTGAGTAATATCTGGAGGGGGCCCAATATGGAACCTGGAGGAAGTCCCTTTATGAAATACTGGATGCTATAACTCCAAAGAATTTTCTGTATAATTCTGCCCTCTTCTGCTCCCTGCTAATTCCATCAGAACTGTCTATAATATACCCTACACCCACATTTGCAGTCAATAAAACCCTCTATGGTACTCACCCTGAAAAGATATGATATCATGAAGCTAGATCAGTCATCTCAAGGGAGAAACTCTGCAGGCTCCTTCCCTATCTATACTTCCACCAGACTAGAAATATTGACCAAGCAGCCCCTCCCTGGAGTAGATCAAGGGGTCCTCCCTTCCTATTCCTTTCAAGAATAACTCATTTTCAAGTATAACTTGATCCAAGTATTCATTACTTTATCACTGTCATTATCAGTTAGCATTTATTGAGCA